AAATGACTATGATGTTCATAATTCAGAAATTTCTGCATTCCCTAAGACTACTATATTCTCAAAAACTAATTATCACATCAATATATTCAAAATATTTGAAACTTCATCTTGAACCTTAAAAAGAAAATTCAAAGAATTTATTCAGCTCATTTAGCCCTTATCGTTTGCACTGTCAGAAGTAAGTAGACAGGATTTTAATGGAAGGCCGAATTGAGTTGTGGATGAGCCAGGACCACCTGTGTCCTCCTTGAGGACTGAGAGACTCATGAGAAAGAGTGTCCAGAGACTAGTAGAGCATGGCTGTTCTATGCAGAAAGGGTTTCAACACAGATGGTGGAGTCATCTATAGCCATGTTCTTCCTCCTGCAAGACAATGATAGAGAAATCCTGAAGGAATATCCCTATCAGAGCCCTCCTATTTGAGTCCATCCAAAGCATCACATTGATGGTAATTGGTGTAACTGGCAAAGTTAAGTAATTAATGTTTATGATGGAGAGCATGAAGTAATCACAGATAGATATATGAAAGGTAGATAGATATTCTTTTTATATTTTAATGGGATTTCAAACACTTCATATATTAGATCTTAATTGAATTTAGACCTCATCCCTCTCACTCCTCACCCCATGCATAATATTTCCACCTGATTTTATGCATTATGTCATATATATTAAGTGCTATTGTGTAGAACATTTGTACCCAGTTGCCCCTTGGAGCACGTTCATCAGCTGGAGTCTAGTCAGCCTATCTGGAGTCACTCTGGTAATGAAGATCTACTTTCCCTCACCCAGCAATGAACAGTTACCAATAGTTCCTCAGCTATGGTAGGGACTTACTGCCCATTTCCCTTGTTCTATGCTGGATTTTTTGTCTTATTACATAGGGGTCTGCACATCCTGTTTTGGAAAGTGTCTGGGAGGTTTTGAAGAAAAGAGTCAGACCATCTGCTCTGCAACCAAATCTCTTTCTTCCTTTTTAGTTTCAGAAGCACAAACTGGATATCTCTCCTTATTTAATAAATGATTCAGATCCTAACATATGAGGCACCTAGTTTTGATATAATTGTTACTCATATCCTCATTTGAAAAAAATGGAAGTCCATGTAATCATTAAATTTTGGAATTACTTTTGAATGCCTTAATGCAGGTAATTGTTGTCTAACCTACTGTTGTTAACTGTGCTGTAAGGAAAACCTATAGTACAAATCAGGGCTCTTTGAAGCTCCCATAGAGCACACCTGCTTTATACCTCATACCCTGTTATCTTCAGATAGATTTGGGAACTCCAGGTTTTGGTTCCTGATGCTCTCAGCTCCCTTAGGTAGGTACCTGATGTTTTTTTTTTTCCTTACCTCTTCCTAAGTATCTGATTTCTAAATCTCATGTACAGTCCCACACATGAGTAAATCTATAGAAAAATCATGTAAATCGACTCTAATCTATGTTGGTGCAGCCTTATACTTTAATAATGTACCCTGCATATTAAGTATGGCAAAGCTCTCTTTACAATGATGCTACCTCCTGCCAGTTTCCCTAGTTCCATGCTGGGTTTTTTTCTGATTGATCAGTCCCAACCTTAAGCAAAAAACAATTGGCAACTGACTACTAATGGGTAAGGGAGAGTTGATATTGTTTAAGGCAATGACTCTAGATAAGTTGATTTGACTCCAGGTGATTAACTTGCACTGAGAACAACTGAGTACAAAAGCTTGACTCAATTTATCTTAATATATATGGCAAAATGCACAAAATGTGGTTGGGTCATTGGAGATGGTGATGGGGGAGATGATTAAGATATTTTGTATGAAATGCACCAAAATTCAATAAAACATACATAAAACATAATATGATGCTATATTTTTTTAAATTTTTATTTTATTCAGGGTTTCCTTGTAACTGCAGCTGGCCTGAAACTCACTATGTAAACCAGGTTGGAATTATACTCACAGACATCAACCTGCCTCTGCCTCCCAAATGCTGGGATTAAAGGCATGTGACACCACAGCTAATATGATGTTATCTTTAACCAAACCTGCTATAATATTCATAATTGAGAAATTTCTGCCTTCCCTAAGGCTAGTATATGCTCAAAAAACTGATTATCATATGGAATTCAAACAATTTATTCAGCTCATTTAATCCTGAGCATTTGCACTGCCCTAAGTAAATAGGAAGGAGTTTTATGGGAGGCAGAGTTGAATTGTGTCTGAGCCAGAAAAAACTGTGACCTCCTTGAGGGTTGAGAGACACAGGAGCAAGAGTATGTCCGGAGAATAATAGAGTATGGCTGTTCTCTGCAGAAAGTGTTTCAACACAGAGGGTTAAGAGGCATCTTTAGTCATGTTCTTCCTCTTGCAAGTCAATGGTGACAGAGCCATCCTGAAAGAAAATCCCTGTCAGAGCCCTCCTATTTGAGTCCAGCTAAAGCATCACATTGATGGTAATTGGTATAGTTGGCAAAGTGAAGTTATTGATGTTTATGTTGGAGAGGATGGAACAATTAATAGATGTATGTAAGGATAAATATTCTTTTAAAATTTTTTATTGAATTTTGAAGTTCTTCATACATTAGATCTTAAACAAATTTCGACCTCCTACCCCATCCCCCACCCCCGCATAATGCTTCCACTGGATTTTATGCATTATGTCATATATATTAAGCCCTCTTGTGTAAAGTGTTTGTACTCAGACGTCCCTTGGTGCACGTTAATCTACTGGAATCTAGCCAGCCTATCTGGGGTCATTCCCTCACCCTGCAGTAAACAGTTGCCAATAGTTCCTCAGCTAGGGTTGGGACTTACTGCCCATTTCCCTTGTTCAATACTGTTTTTTTTGTCTGATTGAGTAGGGCTTTTGTGCCTGCTCTAACCCTTGTTGGAAGTTCAATGAGCGTTTTCCCAGTAATCCAAAAGCCTCTGTTTACTTTATTTTATTTTATATTTTTATTTCATGTGTATGTGTGCATTGCCTGCTTGTAAGTAAGTGAACCCTTGTCGTTCAATGCCCATGGAGGTCAGAAGAGGTTGATGGATCCCTCGGGACTGGAGTTACGAACAGTTATTAGCTATGTGGGTTATGGGATTCGAACACGGATCTTCTGAAGGAACAACCAGTGTTCTTAACTGCTGAGCCATCTCTCCAGCACCTAGCCTCTGTTTTCTTATGCTTATGTATCAACTTTGGCTTTTACAATCTTTCTATCCCTTCTTCCACAATGTTTCCTGAGCCATAGTTGGGTAAGGTTTAATATAGGAGTCCAATTCAGGGACACACTATCTGCAGTCTCTTATTCTCTAAAACTTAGCCAGTGTGGCCTTCTGTATGCATCATGCTGTGTTGTGTGAGTAAGCTTTACTGGTAAGAGTTAAGGTATACATTTATATTTTCTTCTATTCCCTGCTCTGCCATG